TTAATAGAAAATTAAGAGAAATAAACTACTTCATCTAACTCTGACCAGGCCTTATTAGTCATTATCTTAAACTGTAAATATGAAGTTTTACTGAACAGAATCAAAATTTTTCACACATTATCTCATAAAGGTATCTTATAGTCAAAACTAAACTTCCATCATGCTAACATACAAGTAATAATTAGTTACATTATCGTTCACAGTTCGAATGATATAAAAGCTAGAAATGAATTATATATAGTACCAGAATTATTATGAAACAATCGGACCATATTCAGATGTAAATAAATTAATATTACCTTAAATTGAAAAAAAATGTAGATAAAATAATAACCTCGTGAAACTCAAATATTGTGTTAAATCAACCCTTCAAATATTTCTAAAATCRTTTAAGTGGTTGTTTTACTAACTGTTGTAAGTATTTACTTCATTATCAATACAAAAGCATCTTATCTTGGTTTATAATTAGTCATACTATTTACTATTCACATATATTATATATATACATATATACATATATTTTATTTTTTTTTTTTTGTTCTTTAAACAAAAACATGGAAATTCTTATACCAGTCATTATCATTATTCATTACACAGTCCTGCACACTGGCAAAATTAATCCTAAGATTTTCAGATTTCAATGTAAGATTAAAAACAACTCGTATTGGTATTATACGCTTCACATATATAATTGACATACTTTGGGCATCTTTTTTTTTTCAAACGAAATACAAATGAAATGTATGTACAAGACCAGGTTTACAAAAGCTTTTTACAAAATTAACAAGCTTCTTCGTGTTTTTGTTGTTTGCTCAACAGTTTTGTATTATATATTTTTTAGTTGACAATTTATGTTTTGTTCTTCATTTCAAGTCAAGAAAACTAAAATATTATAAAAAATACGCTTTTTACAAAAAAATATAATAATACATTTTATAATATAAAAAGATCTATAAATAAAATATTTCATTAGTTTATTTTATTGAATGCATAACAAATGCACATTCATTACTTACATATGATTGTATTATTATTATTGTTTTATTGATAGTTAATATATCAAACCTATTTTCATACAAATACCTAAAAATTAATTTTCCCTATTATTTTCCAATAATATTATAAAAATGGGGGAGTAAATCATTGTACCTATAGGAATATATGATATATTAATTACAAGGAATTRATTACCTGCAATTCATAACAATGACAATAAAATACTGAATGACAAAATCATCATACTTTTAATGTAAATTTTCAAATATACCTACTATATTAAATTTAATTAAAAATTATTCGAGTAAACTTATAAAATTTCAAAACACAGCTGTTAATTGTTGTTAAAACAAAAGTAATAATTTGAAATTATTACTTAATTAAATTAAATAATACGAAAAATGAACGTAAAAAAATATGAACAAATAAAGGCGAATAAACAGATGAAAAAACTATTAGCATTATGCACAGTTCAGTTATATGGTTTTGAATTTATACAAGTTAATTTATTGATGTTTATTTTATTAAATTTACTTAGCTCGTTAAGTTTTATTTGCTTAATAGTTCGTAGGGATAATTTTTATATAAAATAATATTATGCAAGTTTAGATTTTAAATGAAATAAGAGTTAAGAAAAATAGTATAATTTTTCCCATTCTGTTATAATAGTGATCACTTTAAATTAGAATGTACCTACTTACCTACGAAGTTTTGTCTTGTAAGTCTTAACGATAATGCATTTGTGCTTAAAGTTTTGTATAAGAATACTTAAAATTATTCAAATTTAATCACTATAGACTCAAATTATATTTTATTCAGACGCGTCTGTGTTCATTATTAAAAACAAAAATGCAACGAAAATTTAATGTAATGAAATTATCTTATTATTAGATATACATTTTTATAAAAATCACATAAGTAAAAATATAACATATTTTAATATCCAACAACCATTCCCCAATAAATTGACATTTTACTCAACTTGTATACTTATAATAACGTAAAAAAGTATTATTTTTCAATAAATTGTTTGTATTTTTGACATTCTTGTTTAAAAATTAGGAAAATACTTGGATAATAATTAAGAAATYCACCCTAGAAATACGGAGTGTTGAAAAAAGGTACGACAAAAAATATTGAAAGAAATAAGTATAAATGAGCACCGCTTAAATACTTAAGGAGAAATCGAACATTAATAAATACTTAAAACTGCTGAAATTAAGGAATATTACAGATCGCAGATGATGGAGCAAACTATATTGAATTGCACAGCTCAATAATTGCAGAAATTTTGGAACAAGCAAAACCAAGAAGAAGGCCCAGAATGAGGTACATCAGCCAAATAATTAAGGACTACATGAGAGTCACTTCTTAAAGCGAGCTCAAACAAATTACATTTGTTATTATTTAAATTTGTTGAGCATTTATTGGAATATTATTGTTAATTTATCAAGATWTATATAAAAAAATTTAGTAGGTACTGTAGTGGAAAAAAACTGAGCCATTTTATTTAGGTTTAAATGGTTTGATATGATATCATTATATTGATTATTGGACCTATATTTTATTATTTATAAATACCTATTTGAAGTTAAGAGAAACGTAAGAAGGTCATCCTCTGTTACAYCCTTTACTGAATTTTAAACAGGTACTCATAAATAATAAAATATTTGTTCAATGTATTTGATGCAATGTTCAATATTTTACATAGACATTTTCGAAAATGTATTGAATCAAACTTTAGGTCAATTTTATTTTATTTTTTAAATGCCTTTTATCAGCAATATCTCTAACCCGGTATCTTAATAAGCAATCAACTACAGTACTCTAAAAATTCTAGAATTGTTTTCTAAGTCAAATTCAAATTTTAATTTATTGATTCTTGACGACGACTTTTCAATTGTATAGCAATATTTTTTTTCTCCGTTTACTGTTATTAAAATATTTTAGAACGTTAGATGATATTACAAGTACAGTAAATTGCAATTACAGTTTAATTGCTTATATTTATTTTAGTGATGAAATTGTATAATAATTCATAAGTTTGATATTATTAGTGTTGATTATTTTAATCTTCCGATGAGAGCTATTCAGTATCTGTTGGTAGGATGTCTTGAAGCAGTCAAGATCGCAAGTAATATCTTTAAGCTAGAGTGGTCGCTAAGTGTTGTTACCATTTTCTGAATAAATATTCTTGAAAATAATTTACACCGAATACCACTGCTGACGTTTCCAATTCAGCACTTATAAATTAAGGATCTCGTCATCTTAAAGTTTTTGAGACGCGTGTACGATATGATATCATTTTCCATTGTAGTCACTATTTGTTCTAGTATTTTCGGCAGCGCTTCTAAGAATGCGTCTATAATTACAAAAACATAGTATCCACCCTCAAGCTGTTGTTATATCGTCTTTCTTAGTGTTCAACTGAATCCTTAATTAATTCTTTGATTATTTTTTCCTTGTCTTTYGACTATCGGTTTAAATGTTGACTTTTTCGTTTAAAATATCTATATATTTACATACACGCTTATCCCATAACTGCATTAGTCCGAAATTTATTAGATTTTGTTTTAAAATATTATAAACTCGCATAGAAATTGAACGTATATATATTTTTAGGAATTTAAAAATGTGTGTGATAATATCTAATTCTCTTATCTATGATTTTWATATCTACCTACTAAATTTTTTTATTTTGGTTATGAAGTTTTTGTTCGTTACAATAGTGCGAATCACTTTGTTTTCGTTTTTTTTAAGTCATTTGAGATTTTATGTTCCGTGTGAAGTGATAAATGAATTGATTTTAAATTATGTGTGTTTTTTTTCAGTCAGTTGTCACTTTTTAAGGTAGTAAAAGTAACGAATTATATCTAGTTTCTACTTCAATGATCAAAAGTAAAAATAGTTCAAAACTAGCATTTGAAAAATATGTCTTACAAAAAAAATGTTATATTATTGGACGACCATGAGCATTATTTCAATATTTTAAGTTAAGTTGGGCTAAAAATAAAATTTATCTTTTAATTTATAATTTAATCTGAAAATTAATTTTCTAATCAAATTTTCAAATTTAAATAACTTAGCTTTTTTAGTGAATTTAAAAGCGATCCGTTAAAATTTTAACATTATCCTAATAATATGATAATATTTATTCTATYATTTCCCGTTAAATTACACGATAAAACTATAGCATGTGTAGAGATGTCTAGAGACAAAATACTTTTTAGGTGATTCACGTACTAGTTAAAAAAATTAGAATAAATTTTTAAAATGAGTTAAGTTAATATTGAATTTTCATATTGAATTTCAAACATAGCTTGTTAAATTTACTGAATAATACATTTAATTGATTATCTGACAATTAACTTTTAACTTAACGATCTTGTGTTCACAAATATTTATAACTCATAAAATACTCGTCCAAAATTCATTTTTTATATGTAGGTACCAAAGTTCTTCAAAAAATATTCTGTTTAGGAATAAGGAGTCAAAATAAAACAAATATTTCTGTCATCAAAACCAAATTTAAATACTTAAATAATAAGAACAAAAAATATATTCTTTAGAAAACATTCATATTTTAACGACTTAAGATATTATGTAAACGAAATATTCTCAAAAACATCATAAATAGTTTTTGAAATAATGATAGTGTCTTCCGGATATCTCAGTATACATCCGTGGTTGGATACCCACCCTCGGCAAGCGGCCTACTGACGACAACTCACACAACTCAATGGATTATAAAATGAAGGAACGCAGGTACAGGCTAAAGACATTACCGGCTATAACAGGTATCRTAACCGAAATGGACAGCGCAGCTACACAGTGTATTTGGGGTCGAAGACGTTGAAGTACGTGTCTAATTCGCCTCACACTTTCCCACCGTCGTCCCGTCCCATTTTTGTTTCGCATTTTACATCCCTGTCGGGTCGGCGGCGACGATGGCGGCGACGGTGGCGGCGTTCATTGTTCAGTATYCTTTCGATGCGACACCGAGCTTAACGCCCGACWMGCCGGCGGACGATTCGTGCGAAGGAACCGTTGACGTAAACTCCGTTTGTGGTAAGAACCCGATTCATGTTGTTGTTGTTGTTATTGTTCGCATCGTCATTGTACTTACCCACCATCATTGTTCAATAAACACGAAAATCTAATAATTCTATAAAAAAAATCTAAGTTTTGRAAGTGCGCTATCCACGAAGCGTTGCTGACTGATTCTGCTGACTGGCTTATTGCTGTTATCGATACGTGAAAAGCCAAATTCACCTAATTTCAGGATTACAGGTACAAAATAAATTGCAACACGATACACATAATATTATGTCCGACTCGGTATTGAATAATCTAAACAAATTTCGTTTGATGGTTTTTGGGTGCATTACATTTTTGGTTAGACCTGCAGGATGGATAACGTCATCTCTTCAATAATAATTTCAAAAAGTGTTTTTATAACTGTTATAATTTATTTTTAGTCTGACMTAGTATAATAATTATCGATGAATTAAAATTCAAGAAAATAAATATTAAGTCCACCGTATCTGTTTTGCAGAAACTGAGAACCATGCATTTATTGGTTGATTATTTAAATTCGTGAAATATTTGGAAAATTATACCCATATTAGTTATTGACATTGGAGTTAAWTGGTGAAATTGTATTGGCGCATTAAAAAGCCTTTAATTACAAATATGATAGTGCATATGAACTAATAAAAGTAATCGATTATATTTAAATACTTTTTAAGTATTCAAATACTTATTTTATAATTTTAAAAAGAATTTGGGCGTAATAGCTACTTACGTATTTTAGATACTTCTCCACATCTGATAGTGTCTCTAAAATAAGTAACTGTATTTAAAATCAAATACTTACTTTAAAATATTATGTTCCTATTTTCTTATGTTATGTTACAAAAAAAGTGATTAGAAATGTTTAGAATTAATTGAAAAACAATGTTTTTTAACTTAATTCTGCATTAAATTTGTAAGACGATTTTTATATTAATTATATTATTATTATTATTATACTAGCATATTGGTATCATGTGAAAACCCCTATAATATGACGTTTTTTTAGTCCTATCAGTTGTCATTAACAGGCCGAACGACTAGTTTTTTTTAACCAAAATCTGTGCTTTCTGGTCCACCGAGCACATTTATTAGGTAGTTTACATAATTTATTTTTGACTAAAATATATTCATCCGACGTAAATAGTTTGAAATTATTTCATCAATTTTACACATCAATACATAATTTTGATTAGTATTTTTTATGATATTGATGWTATAAACGATTGCCAGGAATGATTTGAGATACCGGCAACACCAAATAATATGTTTATTATTATACCAGTATTATTGTAAGTTAAAATGATAAGTTAAAGGTACTTATAATGTTTAKAAAATTCACAAATTACAATTTTTACCCAAAAGACATAATATTACTAAGGAAATGTGAAATGCATTGAATGCATGTTTTGTAAAAATAAAAAACACTCGATATTGATCACTTATTCATCATATTTTTATTATAATATGTTTTGTTTGCTTATAAGGAAAGCATTAGAATTAAGTACATAATAATTGATTATTATTTATACTATTGTACAAGGAAATGTTTTTTCATTATTTTATGTTTCTGTATAATATTGTCTATTAACATAGATAATAAATGAAAATATGAAATACTATACATACATTACACTAAAATAATATTATATGTTGATATTAAAATAATCGTTATGTCTGACCAGACTAACTTAGCTGTGTTTAACAGTCACTGCTACATGTTAGACAGTAAAATGTATACTGTCTAATAATTTTTAAAATATCAATGTATTTTAGTCGTGACAAGTTAAATTATTTCTTCCATATATAATAAAGGTAAATTATGATAGAGACACATTTTAGTAGTCAAAGAATGATTATATGCTTGGTTAAAACTTAAAACGCTTTTAATGTTTATAAATATATAACATGTTAGTAGATAGRTATATTACCATAATATTATTTCTATACAATACAGCTAAATTCACTCACCAAGAATAACTTTAATTTATTCGGTCAATATGAAGGATTGATAATAATAATATTAAAAAAATTTAATTGTTTCATTTTTTATTTTTATTATTTGTATTAATATAAATACCCACGGTAAAATAGGCCATTGGGAAACAAGTATTATTTTAAAAAGTAGATTTAATTCTAATGATTGAGAAATATGGTCAGTTTACACAAAACGACAGTACGATAGTATAGTTTAGTTTGTTTTGTAGATTCGCTTTTTTGATGAGATCGGTGGTGCTGTGAGTGAGTATAGTTATGATCGAGATACTAAAATTATTATTATTAAATTATACAATAGAATTATGGAAGTAATATTATAAAATAAAATAGCAGTTTTTGGTGATTTGTAAAAATTAAATATACAGTAAAATATTAAAATACAACATTGCCGTGTTTTTAAAACSATTTATGACCATTTATTAATGCACCAATTGAGTGTGTTAGAATTTGTTTTATTACATTAATGCAGATATTTTATTCAATTATGCTATTGCACAAAATCAAATAAATATTTAATTTACAGAATTAACTTAAAAGCTTTTCACATTGATATTAAAAATGTTTAAAGGGAATGTACATATGAGAGTTATAACTTATAATTTTAACAAGTTTTTCAATTGTTTTAAAATGTATAGACCATAGATAGGTACTGTAAATATTATACAATGCTTCCGCAATTGCTTCTGCAATCTGCAGTTCCATCTTGAAGTGTAATAAATTAATTTATTTTATAGAAAATTGTATTATTAGTACACAAAAATTATTACGACCAATTATTATTTTTGSATGAATATATGTATTTTACAATCAATTTACTGATTAAAATTTAAAAATCAACGTAAAACTAATATTTATTTTATTATTACTTATATAAATAAATAATAATAATAATTCCTATTATATTATAAATTAATATTATGAGTTAAGATACCTATATATTATTATTATCATTTATTTTACGGTACCTTATATAATTCAAAATATATGTACACGCAATGCGTACATTATATCTTGTATATACTATGACCACTTGCTTAATTCATTTTTTTAACGCAACTAACTATAGTTATAAATTATAATAT